TGGGGGCAGCTACTTCTTACCAACACAATTTGTTCACATCCGTTGTCTTCTTCCTACTCTTGTCCTCTTTGTGTGCTCTCAATCCCCTCTTGTCTCTGCACTGTCTAGAAGTTTAGCATGTTAACTAGTCTAAAAATGCATCCAGCATGTTTCTGCATCACGCCTCAGCATCTTTTTGTGTATACCCCCTGCTAATATCTACTTTGGTAATTAAGCTCTTCCTGGTAGTAAGAAAAGAAAAAAATATTATAACAAAAATGTTAGCTGCGTAGATCTCTGTGATTGATAGAGTTGAAGGTGATTGCGAAGAGTTTCAAGCAGGTATAAACAAACATGGGCTCTGATGCCAAGTCAGTGCCAGGAACATGAGCAGCAGTGTGATTGCTGCTTGTTCTGACATCCCTGGGACGCTCACACTTCAGTGCAGCCCGTTTGTGGTTTGGAGATATAAGCTATCCAAGGGTGAGATGAAAAGTATCTGTGAAGCAGGTTAAGTGCCGTTTCAGGTGGTGCCTGGTAGTGTCCAACATGGCCCTGGTCACTGAATACTGTTGTTTGTTTTCACAAACCAGCACCTCACAGTTTCTGAGCGAACAACTGCTGCGAGGAGACCATAACCTCTGGATTTCAAAGGAGCCATCGTTTCGCTGGTGCCTCTGTGGTTAATGTAAGAAAGGTGTCTTGCCATAAACTTTTCCGAGGTATTCAGCAAGGTTGGAAAGGGGTCGGCCAGGGCAGGAAGCCCTTGTCTGTGCTATAAAGAAAATAGTGAGTAACAAAATGAAAGCATCAAAGGCCCAACAGGATGCGGTCCCATGAGCCCTCTCTGGCATGTTAGTCCTGCTTGAAAGTTAGCATTGAGTGAAGAGTGACCTTAAAACTCGCTTCATTCAAACAGACTGGGCTCAAGTTTAAAGTTCAAGGCATTTTGTTTTTTCACCTGTTTCCTACAGTTTTAAGAAACTTCTGAAGAATTAATGTGTAACTATATCTGGTCACTGAGCCAGCACTAAGACTTTTTCTCAAGGGAAAATAGTGTTACTGTATAGAGGGAGAGAAATGGATACTTTCTGAGCTGCAAGGGAGAGCTTCAGCAAAATAAAACCCAAACCCACTGCTATGGCAGTCACAAAGGGCTGCAGGGCAAGAGTGATGCACACACTGCTTCTTTTATTTTTCCAAAAAAGCTGCTAGGATGCAATAGTTGTTGGAACCATTGCAAAAAGGATGCTTATGGCCAGAGCTGTTGGGAGGCGAGGCCGTGCCCCCAGTTCAGGACCCAGCAGCTCAGCCAGGACCCTGCAGCCCCATAGCCGAGCTCACCACCACATCCTCATCCTGCCCTCCTGACCCCGAGGCAGCCCCCTGTCCTCTGATCTTTGCATCCCACATAGCAAAGGGAGCAGTAACGCGGCCCACAAGCAGTCCGCTTTTTGTAGTTAAAAGAAAGAGCTGGGAGAGATGACATACAGATTTCATTCGCATTTCCTCGCGCCGTTAAATTTTAATGTTTCTAGCATGAATATTTCATGAAAAAAAACCTTATGAATGGGTTTGTTTTGTCCTGGCACCTACTACCTAGTATAGAATCTGATTCCTATTATTATTCTTTTTTTTTTTCTCTGAGGTAGATCAGCAGAGGTCTGAAGTGTCAGATTAGGTGAGGAAGGCCACTTTCCCGTGGCACTGCCAGCTGCCCAGCGACACGCTGCTGCTGGCTGAACTGCTGTGCGCTGACCCTAAAATACAGTCCTGCTCTTTGCTCTCTTTGCCACAAGGTGGCTGAGGACAGTCTGAAAGCACAGATCTGAGTGCTGGGAGTTGCTCTGGGTGTGAAGCAGGCTGTCCAAAATGCAACACCTAGCAACACATATGCAAAGGCAGCGTGTTGAGCTTACCCCAGGGGATGGCAGGACCATCTGTGGTCATGGAGGGCAAGGGGAAATTTGGTCACCACCCTTCTTGTGGCAGCTGTGGAGTCTGGGGCTTGGAATCACCACTCTGTGTAACCTGGGACTGAAATTTCCAGTTCCTCAGTCTCCACTTAACATGCCCAGTGAATTCTTTTACTTACATGCTGGAACATAGAATCATAGAATCATTTGAGTTGGAAGCGACCCTGAAAGGTCATCTGGTTTAACTCCCCTGCAGTGAGCAGAGACACTTACAGCTCAGTCAGGGTGCTCAGACCCATCCAGCCTGACTTTGAAACACCCAGCCCTGGGTTAGCGAGTTCTGTCGTTGTGGTTGGGTTTGTTGGGATGAGCAGTAGCATGCTGGGTGTACTGCTGTCAATCTGAAGGGAGCGCTTCTAAACTGCCTGAGGCTGCTCAGCCAGAAATATGCATGTCGTTGTCATCAGTTTTGTGAGTTTTAGTGCTTTTCCCTTAAAACTTTTCGGAAGCTTATCTTCAGATGTACAGTAAGGAGAGATCTTAGCTTAGTGGAAATGAAGCATATCTTTTTCCAACAGATGCACCACTCGGTATTGAGCTTTTCATGTATGTTTCAGGTTTCCCTTTTTATTTTTTAACTTATTAACTCTGACAAGTAACCTCTTGGTTGTGAACAATTTAATTCACAATTCATTTTTCTGATTCAAAGTGAACACGAGTGCCCTAATCCCCTAATGGGAATTAATTGCATGTTTCAGTGCTTAACTCTGATCCTTTCCCAATCCCCACTGGGGCAAGTTTCTTCCTGAAAGATCTCTGTTTGTTATTCAAAACACAGTCTGAAAGGTAATGATTTTTCTTATAAAAGGGAGTCAGATGATCCGAATATTAACGTCCTTTTTATTGTGAGGGAATGAGCTGCATCTGAAAAAACTCATTTATGTCATGAAGGATAGATTACACTGGAGTATATCTGATAAAACACAGAGACAAATCAGTGTGGTCTTTTTCCTTACGTGAAAGCTGTTTGCCAGTAAATAAAGGCACGCACCATTTTTGCTGGAAAACCATTCTGTTACAGAGAGAAATTCTTTTCTTCACAAAGGGAGAAGCTGCTTTGCTACTGGTTAAAAGGCCTGGTGATTGTAAATGACCCCCATCTTGGCTGGGAATGTACCCTTTGGATAACCCAGCTGACCTAGCTACTAAATTAAGAAAGCTGAAAAAAAAAAACATTAATTTTCTGCTTCCAGTCAGTTTTTAAAGATTTTTCAAACTCTGAACGTTGTTTAACAACAAATGGAGCTTCGTGTTCTCCTCTGGTGGTTGGTGCATGGCAGGCAGCTGCCTCGCTGCTGTGTTGAGCGGAACAGAGACAAAATCAGGGCAAAATCAGGAAAACCATCACTTGCCTGCAGGAAGAATTGGGGATGAACAGGGTAGAGTGTGAAAAACAAAGGAAAAGCTGGGAAGGTATGGGTGTTTCCTGTCTTTCAGTAAGGCCAATCTTTTATCACATTTAAACCAATTTGTAGATTTTTGTGCTTCTAGATAAAACAAATGTTGAATAACATTGTTCAGGGGCTGCTTAAAAGATGTGGCTAGAATGCGTGCAAGACAGTGACTGCAGGCATAGGTGGTTCAGTTCTTGGGTATGTCTGAAAAAGACTTCAGGATGGATCTTCCACTGAAATAACAGGGTCCTGCCTCCCAGTCCATCCCCAAGGTAAACAAATGGAAATAGCATTGGCTCTGCTCACCCGGACAAGAGGGGTGAAGGTGTTCCTGACGACACTGTCGCCTGGCATGCCCTCATCAAGTCAGCAAAGGAGGCCTGTCAGCTGGGAGTCACTGAAAGCACCAAAGAGAAATGTTGTTTTTCCCTTTCCCTGAACAGGCAAGACAAACACGTCCTTGTGCTCGCAACGGCAGCTTCCGAGCAGCCCTGGCTCAGCTGGACGTGGCCTCCCCAGCTCTGCCGGCGTTCCGCAGGCAGAGACAGCCAGCAGGACCTGGTGCTGGGGCTGCGGGAAGCCTTCAGCATATCCCCGAAGTGGCCCTACAGCAGGTTGAACTTAACCCAAGCCTGTGCCAGGCCACGTCATTCTGCAGCACAGCACTTGTTTTTCCAGGGCTGATGTTCCAGCCTTTTCATTCCCCTTCAGGACAGGCAGCTCCGTGGCCGGGCTGAGTGATGTCCCAGTTTGCACAGTGTTAGTTTGCTGCAGCTACAAGCATTGTGCTTCTTACTGTTCTTTCCTGTTTGTTTGGGGTTTTTTTGAGAGTGTAACCAAGTTGGTATTACTAACATAAAAAATGCTCACCAGAAAATGGATGCAAATGCAGCACAACATGACAGCAAGTTTGAATGCATTAATTTGCTTTGGGATGATTAATGCCACTGTGCTTTATTTTACCATGAAACAAGATACTTGAACTGAAACCAGGCACCTCTGTCTCTGAATATAATGTTGTTTCTCATATCCTGAATATTGCCATGGTGAAGAGGAGGCACATGCTGTGCTGGGCTGCACAGACCTGGGGACGAGGAAAAGTCCATCACTACAGCCTTTAAACCAGCCCCTCTGCCAAGGAGGGGCAGAATTGTCCTTTGGCTTCATTTCTGCAGTCTTAACACTACCTGGACTTGGCTGGGGCTACTTAAACCATAAATGCAGTCGAGCAGTATAGTAAGGTGCTTGAGTAGCTGAACTGAACCGTGCCTTTTTGTTGTTACTGGGGTGTTTTTTGGATGGCTGGTTGGTTGGTTTCTTCCATGAAGGACGTGCTAATTGGAACTTGTTCCTATCACTGGGTTGCTTTTGGTGTGTTACTGAGCACGGCATCATGCTCTGTGCAGCCCGGCTCCAATTTAATCATGAGAGAGGCAGAAAAACCTCGAGGAAGGCTTGAAGCTGAGCACTGTATTGGCTGCTGGCGTGGCTTCCTTAGAATCATAGAATGCCCTGAGTTGGAAGGGACCCGTAAGGATCATTGACTCTAACTCCTGGCTCTGCACAGCAGCACCCAGCAATCAGACCTTCTCCTTAGAGAAGGGCAGTCACACGTGTAACATCCACCTCTGTCCCTCTGCTGCTTTTGCAGGTACGATGGCTCGTGTCTTTGTGTATGGCACGCTTAAAAAGGGCCAGCCCAACTACAAGCACATGATCAACACCGCCAAGGGGATCGCGAAGTACCAAGGGAGGGGTCGCACAGTGGAGAAATACCCTCTGGTGATTGCAGGGAAATACAACATCCCCTATATGCTCAACATCCCGGGCACGGGACACCACATCGCAGGGGAGATTTACACTGTGGATGACCAGATGCTGCGCTTCCTCGACGAATTCGAAGGCTGCCCAGACATGTACCAGCGCACAACGATGAGAATTGAGGTGGTGGAGTGGGAGGGGAAGAGCGGCACAGCTGAGGTGCGAGCAGCCAGCAGCGGGGTGATGGAGTGCTTCGTGTACAACACCAGCACCTACCAGCCTGAGTGGGTCCAGCTGCCCTACCATGACAATTACGATTCCTCTGGAACCCACGGCCTCTCCTACGTGCTACGAGAGAACAGAGATTGAGCCGGCACAGCCCTGCGAAGACAGTTCTAAGCAGGTGTTGTGTGGCAGCCCTACCAGCAACCCCGTAATGCCTTTCTCTTAAATCCCCAGATCTGTAACCTTCCAGACCTGGGCACGCTGGCTCTAGTGCTGCAGTGCTGTAGGCCTAGAGACTGGCACAGCCTTGTACCACCACTAACCCACCCTAACTGGTTTCTCATGACGGCCGAAATAACTGTGTTTGTGCACAGCAGTGAGGGGGTTTATGTTCTTTCCTGCCCCCCGACCCCTTCACCTCAGTGCACGGCCAAGGTGAGTGGAAGACAGATGAACACACTAATTCTTTCTTACCTGATCTGATAAATTTATCACATGTGTTCCATACGCTGGGTGGAGTATTGACGTTATTGTACTAATAGCTAAAACTGATTTTAAAAAATCATATCTGCAAGCAAAGTAAAATGCACGGCTAATATTGTCCTGTAATGGTAGGCTACTGAATGTAAACCAAGCAGCAGGCAAATGTCTGTGGGGGAAAAATGACCACACAGGTAGTCTGCGCTTTGGGAAAAATACAACAGTGCTGTAGGAATAAAGGGAAGAGATTTTTAAAGATGACTGTTCTTACTTCATAATGTTTTTTCTGAACTGGAGGTGATTCTTTTTAAAATACATTTAGTTTTATGAGATACTGTAAAGAAATATTAAAGAATTATTAAAGAGAATTCCATTTAAAATCGTATATGTTTCATTTAGCATCCTAAGTAAGCGCTCTAGGTACCATTTTCAGTTCACTGAGTGACTGAGATCTGGATGCTGAGGGCCAGAAAAGCAAACCTGACTTCAGCTGCCCACTGCACCACACCAGCTGCAGGTGAGCACTATTAAGGCGACGCTGAGCCAAGCACTTTCATGGAGAACTTGCAGTTGTATGCAGACTGAATTTTCTATAGGGGGGAAAGATCCTTAATCATGTTGTTAAAGAAATAAAAAAAGGACCTATATGTGATTACTGCAACATTTAAAGACGACTGTCCTCATGACCCAACCAACTGTGCTGGCTTCTGTACAATCTGGGGATATTGTGGTTGTGTTGTTGCACTGCTGTGCCTTTTATTTCCTTCAACTGCAGCGTTTGGTACACTGACATTGTATAATTTAGAAAGCTGCTGCAGGGACAAGGCTGTGAGTGGGGAATGTGTGTCGTGCAGTGAGCCAGAGTACAGTGAAGTGTACCAAGGGGACTGTTCAGAACTGTATTGTACTTCTGCTTCACTGGCAGGAGCTCTGGGATGGCCAGAGATCAGCACAGGGAGCCAGGGTAAGGAACCAGCCTGAACTTCATTAGTAATGGGCATTGCTGCCATTCAAGTAGAAAAACAGAGAGGTTGTGCTTCTGCAGCAGGCACATTGAACTCTGAAATGCTTTTCAAGCAGAATTCATTTTGTAAATCTTTTCATCGTGCTTCAGTTTAGGGCAACGTGCAGAGCCTGAGCAGTGCCCCTTCTGGACGAGGCAAGATGGCACCAAGGACATTCTTAGGGAAGCCTGCAGGGTCTCTGCCTCAGTTTCTCCAAAGCTCTGGTTTATGAACACTCCTAATCCCTCACTTTAGAAGGAGCCACTGCACAACAAGAGGTCAGACACGTTGATCTCCAGGCCTGGAGGAGCTCAGAGGACAGCGTGCTTGGCCTGAGGGGTGGCTAAGGGCACTTGAGGCCCATGCCTGGAAGGCCTTGTATCCAGTGACCAACAGAAAGAAGATAAAGGGGAGGGCGTTTGAGTATGGAGTCTGAGTAAAAGAGAAAATTCCCTTAGAGCTGCAAGTGAAAATACAAGGGAAATTCTGCGGTAGCAAAATAAAGCATCTAACCCATAATTTAAAGCTAGTCTAGATAAAGGCTTCACAATATTACAATAAGTCTGACCAGAATTTAAGCAGTAATTGTTCAGCACTTACACAGAGTGTAGGAAACTGCTGAGTCCATTCAGTGGTTAATTTGTCGCTCCTATCAACCATTCTGTACAATTTGGCTGGGGCCTCAAACCAGTGAGATTACCATGGAGAAGATTAATCAGCTTCAGGCTTTTGTTATGTTTTCTTTTTAAAAAAGAAGCTTTTCCTGTTTTAAAGCAGAAATGGTATTTTATTGATTCTACTTGATCCTGAAAAATCAAAGAATTACAAAGGTTATGTACAAGTATTTCTGGAAGTAAAAATCTGAGATCTGTTGCCAAGGTTTAACATCTGTGTTTGCTGTCTTAACCACTGATACAATAAATATGGCTCTATAAGATCTTCTGCGTAGGAAGGTCCATCGTCTGTCTTGAATAGCTCTAATTTTACTTCATGGATGGAAATAACCAAGGTTGAGCTAATTCAACAGTGGGAAGGCAACCTTTCATTCCAGTTCCACCAGCAGATCTCCTTCTCCAACTGTATCACCGGCTTTGCAGTGCACAGCTTTCACCTACAGCACAGAAACAGAAACAATTTCAGTGTGTAGATCGGCACTGTCATTAAGTTCACACTAAAATCTTTCAGAAGACAGTTTGAATATTCAGCATTCGTGCCTGGACATTACAATATAATATTCTGGTATTTCATGGATTACAGACTGGAAGTATTAGTGAGTTTTGGGGCTGAAGCCATGAAGCTGGGTTTCCCTTAATCCCTGCACTGCTGAGAGAAATTGATTCAAATCCGAGTTGGAATCCTTTAATGTAACTGAAGTTGGCAAAGGGTTACAGTTGTCAAATAAATGCAACTACTTCTGTAGATGAGTTCTTTTACTGAATGAACATAGTATAGGATGTCCTATATAGACTTTCATCTTTTCTAAAAAATGCTGAAACACGTTAGCTTGTGGAGCTTCAGAAGATATTTGAGGCTCTGCATTAGAATTTGCTTGCAGTGTTAATCCAGATGTACCTGAGTTGTTGGACGAAATCTCGTTCGGCACCTGGTTCGGTCACCTGAAGATAACTGAGGCTCTTACAGGGAACCCACAGCACACCCAAAATCAGACTGATGGGGCTGCACGACTGCCTACATCTGAGTGTGACAGCCTACAGCCCTGTGAGCTGTAGGTGCACCTCTGGGTCTGTCGCACAGACTCATTCACAGTATTGTCCAAGAAATGAAGCTGAATACTGTTGGCAGGCGAAAACTTCACGAGATATACAAGAAACAGCTTTATTGCCAAATCAATACCTACACAGCCAACCCAATTCCTGAGACTCATCTTTCAGGAGATTAAAGCAGTATGAGAGATACTCCTTTCTTTACAAAGCCAACGTTCAGCACACGCTGTAGCTCACTGGTGTCTCAGCCTCCCCAGTAGTTTCTGCCACGTGCTGGCAGTGGCCCTGCACTCCTCTCCCTGGCTGTGGCTTGCTCCCAGTTCCTCCCTGCTAAACCACCTGCACAGGGTGAGCTCGGAGTGGACAAACGCACATTTCTACAACTATAAACAGGAAGGGGAATGATGAAGAAAAGGAATTCAGACGGGGAAGGAAAATGGACGCCCTCCAGCTGAAGGCAAACAAACTGAGATTCAAAACACAATTTCAGTGCATAAAAAAAGTGGGCTAACAGCCAATGCCAAACATCCCATTCCTGAGGAGGGGTCAGGCTCCTTTAGCACTCTGAGCCGTGGTTTTGCACTACAGAGAGGAGCAAAAATTTCTGTTTAGAAAGGACTAATTCACCAAATGGGGTTTTTATGTGCACAGTTGTGGGGAGTATTTATTAATTGGAGAAGGGCAAGCAGAATTTCAAGGAACACGTCATTGGGATGCAGCACACCTTGGTGGAAAGGAAAGGTTGAAGTGAAAAAATAAAGTGGAGGGAAGGTGGCAGTAGCACTTTAGTCATAAATACTCACTGGTTAAAAGCAGTGGAGACAAAGAGCAGCAAGAAGGGGTTAAACAAAAGATGCAAAACTGAAAAATAAATGCTGTACAATATTAATCAAGTGAGAAAATAAGTTATGTAGGAATTAATGCATGAAAGAAGATAACAAAGTGCCAATGTCAGAGCAACAGGAGAAAGTACATTCTCCCTTCTGCCCCCTCCTTCACCTCCCCCTTGCATTTATTTCCTCAAGACCCAATTTTGCATGAGACATACTGGAAGAGGCAAGCCCTGGTCCAAGCCTTGGTGACAATTTCAGTGCCGTGCCAAATCATCCTTTCTTGTAAACACACAAACAGTCCTTGGCATAGAAACCCATCCTCAGATCTCAGCAAATCTTGCCAATGCCTAACCCAGCCTGCCCTGGAGTGAGGCTCCTTGCTGCCTCCCTCTGGGCTAATGAACCTTGCAAGATTTCTTTCTATGATCACTCTTATTCTCCTTAGCAAAATGGTCTTGCTTCAGGGACAGCAGTGGGTCCAAAGATAGGCTGGGAAATGTGACATTAGGAGAACAAAAAAATCCAGATCTGATGACTCTGCTCTCTCTCCCTGTGAAAAAGCAGAACCTGGCCGTGCCCAAGTGATGGCTTTACGCTGTGCATTACAATTCAGCACAGGAATGCTCTGAGGCCCCCTGCTCAGGGGCTGACAGCCCCCATACAGATGGGGTTTCTCCCTATCATGCAAACCTACCCAGTTCCCTGCTCAGAAGGCCGATAATCAAAAAAAACCACTCTTCTCATAGAACGATAGAATCACAAAATGGCCTGTGTTGAAAAGGACCACAATGATCATCCAGTTTCAACCCCCTGCTATGTGCAGGGTCGCCAATCACCAGACCAGGCTGCCCAGAGCCACATCCAGCCTGGCCTTGAATGCCTCCAGGAATGGGGATCCACAGCCTCCCTGGGCAACTTGTTCCAGTGTGTCACCACCCTCTGTGTGAAAAACTTCTTCCTACAAAAATGCTTTCTATGCCTTCCTCTGAGTGGTTTGGTAAGATGAGATTGTTTGCCATTAATGAATTAACTAGCAAAGAGATCACTCTTCTTTAGCTACTCACTGGAAATAGGGAATTTGGGAAAATGATCTGTAACACCTTTCAATTCAATGTGGCATTGTAACATCATAGAAAACAAATCATTTAGGAGAAAAAGAGTTATATGAATTTCTAAAGCCAGTAAAACTACTTCCTGCTGTGCTATCTACGGCTTGGAACTGCTTAACAGCATTCACAGCAGATGTAAATGTTAAAAATTAAAGATACCTCACTTCGAAAGACTTACAACAATCAGACTTAATTCCTTAACAACCAGAATCCTCCTTTTTTCCTTTTTAAATTCCATCCTATTTGACAAGCTGCATATGGTTTTAAGTGACCCAAGGTAGCTTACCTTGCCTGTTTTAGCAGCGATCATACTGTTCTGCATTTTCATTGCTTCAATTACACAAATCTCTTGACCTTCTGAAACCTGGTAAAATTAAAGCGGTACAAAATGAGGAGAGAGGATTTAAAAAGCTCTAAGTGTGTATGGTTCTCTTAAAAAATAAAGGGATTATTTCATTAAACACTACAAGGCTTCCAGGGCGCAAGTCAAGTCAGCCAGTTACGTACGGCCAAGACGCAAACCACTGCTGCTTTTGGCAAAGGGGAGAAAAGGAATCACCTGCCCAAAGTCGTCCACCCATACGAACCTGGACGGCCCCTCGCCCATCTCACACACTCAGCTCTAACTTTCACAGCTCGCATTTCACATCCGCCGCAGCTCGGCATCAATTAAATCCAGACCAAAATTTAATTTGCTCAGCCTCTGCTCT